TTCAGGGCACATTCTGACATTCAAGTTAGCAAGGTGTAAAAAGATGGGGTTAAGGTAAGAGATTAGAGTTATAGAAAGTAATGGAGGAAGCTTAGTGAAGTAGGTTCAAAATAGTATACCTAAGTCTTCTTTTTACATTACATATGTGACATATTTGATGATGTGATGTGAGCAGTTGACAATTGATGAGAAGCCAGTACGGAGCTCAATAAATTTCACATAGGTTATGAGTTGTTGGCATTTAATTATCTTAGGCTAGTCGCTTATAGTGAGATGATTGTTGATGAGGCATTAGTGGAAGTAGTGAGGTCAGCTATCTCTAGTGGGCTACTGGTTTGTGTAGGCAGGTGAGGCGACGTAGGTAGGTGACATGGCGATTAAGTGTGTGCTAACTTGGCATGTATGACAATCAACCTTGTTGACTTGGCAATCAAATGTAACAACCTATATTTAGAGATTTCAAGTAGTTAAATTCAAATTTTATGTTGAATTTGAAAAAGTCAAAACTTAGTTGAGATTATTATTTTATTTTTGTTTTTTTTTTTAAACTTAAATTAAGTTTGATATATCATAGTTTGTATTAGGCACTATTATTTCATTAAAAAATATGGTAATTATATTTCTAAAAACAATGGTTGTTATATATTATTGTGTAAATTAACTAGTAAGATTTAGAAAAGAAAATTATAATTATTAATATTAAATAAAAATACATTACATATAATTTTTTTGTTAACAATTTAATTAAAATGATTATTATGAAAAAATATTAATAACGAGATGGTGAAGGGTGGGTATGTATGTTAGCAACTTCTATTAAGGCAAAGGCAAAGCTTAAATATCCAAGGTAAAATATTAAACATAAAACATAAATATATAATTTTATCATTTAAAAAATTTCTCTACATCTATATTTATATATATATATATAGATGTAAATATAGATTATATAGATAGATATAAATATATAGATAATGTTTAATTTATCTTTTAAAGTGTCCTTTGAATGGAGTTGGGTTAAGTTAAATTACACTCGAGCCCATATAAAGCCATAAAAAGAAAATACTTATAATGTATAAATCTTGACATATTGATATATATATATATATATTGTTATCTTTATCTCCTTTAAATAAATTTGTGAACGGTACATGGGTTTCACCACAATGCTTATTTTAATGTTAAGATTCATGGTTTAATTAAGACTCACCAGTCAATTTATATATATTCTAGGATTTGATGTTGGTTTCAAAGTCAAAATCACATCTTAATCAAAGAACTTGGTTTGGAGATAGTAAAAGGATATCGAAGGAATTAAAGCTCTAAAATATGTTTGGAATAAACCTTGCCTTTACTAATCCACTTTAGACCAACACCCCAAGTGGCTTATAGATTAAAAAGCATGCCTCTCTCGTTGTTCTTGGTAACAAGCGATTTGTATGAATAATTCATATGTTTCAAGTTGTCACACATGCATATAAAAAGATACATATGGCCACCCCAGAAGGTTTATCCATTATTAATGATGCAAACATTATGTATTGTCAAAGAATTGCATTAGATAAAATAATTCATACTATATTATAAAAGTAAAGAAGTTAACCAAACAAACTTGAAATGCAACCTAATTTTTATGACATATTACAATCACATTTTATAAAAGGATGCCTCGAGGGTATATTTAACACAATCCATTGTTCATACCTAAAGTAAATAACATGGTAGTGAATAACATACCAAGCATGAATTTACATAAAAAATATCAACTGCATTTTAATGGTAAAATAAACTTTAATTTTAACTATATAACATATCAACATGCATTCCTAATACTAAATGATGGTGATGATCGATGAAATGTCACATACTTATAAATTAGTAAGGGAGATCTAAAATGCCAAAGTTTTAAGAAGGATATCTAAGCGGATTGCCTTGTACAAGATTTGGGACATTTCAAAGTAGCATGGTGGAACAAATAGACCAATAGTAGCAATCTGTACTATGGGTTGATCGATAACATTAAGTAGTGATTTATAGCGATGGTAGCAATAGACCAACTGGCTGGTGGGAATGTTGATTGGTTGAGGACAACAACTCTTGGCTTCCTAGACTGATCAATTAGATGATATGTAAATTAATTATCACAGATCAATTTGATTGTCGAGCTTGGTTTAAGGACGAGATGGAATTTCAAACTTTTAATGTGTATTTGGATTAGGTGTTTAGAGGAAGAATTTCATTTCAATAAAGGCTTTTAAAGGTCTAAAAATAAATTTACTTATTTAAGTAAAATAAAAGAAAATTTCAAAATTTTTGTAGAATTTCAAGAGGGAATTTAAGCTTGAAATTCTACCTAAATAAGTGGTTTTTCAAAATTCTTTCAAATTCTCTCTTTTTACTAAACATAACCTAGCATAAAATTCAAAATTCAAAAAATAAATATCATTTTATTATACTTTATTATATATTTTTATTTTTATATTGTTAATAATATCTATATATTTTTACAAATCTAATGATACCCTTATTGCATATTATATTTATACATGTATATTTTATCTCTAATATCATTATTCTTCTTTTACAATTATTCTTTTCTCATTAAACTTTAATAGACTAAATTTCTTTTCAAGAAATATTTATACAAAAAAATAATCACAAATGTTAATATTCTAAAATGATGTATTTTTAAATGTCTTCATTTTGAATTTCTTCAATATTTCAAAATTTTTCATCCAAATGCACTCTTAAAAAAATGATGAGTGGTTTAGAAGAAGTTTATGGATATCTTGGGCTATTGATGGAAGGATTTGGGAGTTAGAAGGTGTTTGCGTAGTGTTTAAATAGAAATGGGTCATTTAGAGTGTTGTGAACGAACGATAATGCTGAAGGCCATAAACAACTTTAGGTTATTTGATAAATGATATGGTCTTGATGTCATGGGGTTGGAGTGGTTGATAGGCTCTGATTTGGTGTCTAAAATATTGGTGATGTACTAAAAGGGTGAGGAAAGGGCTTAGTGTTAGAGTGAGAATAATTGGTGAAATAAAGGTAAAAGAGATTCAAGTAGCCTAATACTGATCGGCTAAAAGGTGTGTTGATCAACTAAAGGTTATATTTTGAGTTTTTAATAGTTTCAACCTAGTGTTCGAGTGAAAATAATTGGTGAAATAAAGGCAAAAGAGATTTAAGTAGCCTAATATCGATCGGCTAAAAGGTGTGTTGATCAACTAAAGGTTGTATTTCAAGTTTTTAATGGTTTCAATAGATCACCAGGCAACGATTTAAGACATATTAGAGATTTAGGCCAAGGCTTTGGGTACTCTAATGTTTATGGACAGCTAAAATAGGTTTGTTTGGAAGTTCGAAATGGAGAAATGAGAATATTTTCTTTGGATATTAGAAATGATGTTTTAGGAAAGCTTGGAAAAGAGTTTCTCAAATAGAGAGAAGAGAATATAGCTTGAGGTGTGTTGAATGAGAAAATGAAATGGGCTATTTATAGCTAGTCATGAGCATTTTAGGAATAGTCAGATGATTATATATCATATGGTAAACCTCTAAGATAATTATCCCAAGATGTATTTGGGAGATAATTCATCAAAACTCTCACTTGGATCATTATTTAACATGTGACAACTAATTGGCAAAGAGTATTGCCAATTAACTTGAGTCTTCTTTTTCTTATTTGAAAGGTCTCAAATTTCGTCCAAGTTTATCTCTATCTTAAATTAAACTTTACCTACAAATGATTAGTTCAATTGGTTAAGACTCATCCTCATTGACGAAGAAGTTTTAGGTTCAAGTTCTATCGATAATCGCTTGTTGTGATCATCTTGAATGCACGACCTGTAGTTACTTGTTTTAGGTTATCGGATACAGTATATCTTATCCTGACCTGAGAAATTGAGTAACCTATCTACCCTGAATATTTTTTACCAAAAGAAATCTTAAATTAAACTTTTTCTAACTAATCAATAGACAATTATGCTGATCGGTGGTTTTTTTTTGAGCCCATTGGTCCAAATCCAACCATTATTGAGGTTAGATAAGCTTATAGATCGACTAATATGATAGCTGATCAATGATAGATTGTTTCTTGCTTAATTTTATTCCAATTATTTGTTGATCTGTGAGTAAATTTGGTGCTTACAAAACTAAATAACATTTTTTATGACTATAAACATAACAAAAAAAAAAAATGGTGGACAATGTGCACTTATGAGCAAGTAATGCCCAACATTCATGGGTATTAACGTAATCCAACATTACCAACAACAAACATAAAAATGTACAAAGGATAATCATAATAACATGTCTAATTTATTAAAATTACATATTAAGGTCCATTTATTATAACATATTGATTTAAATATATTAATATAATGAACAATAAAAAGTTCTAAACAAATTATTTATTAAATAATAATTTGGTATCTTAAACAAGTTTAACTTAGGGTGTATTTAATAAACCATTAAAAAATTTCAAATCATTGAAAATTAAAATTTTCAAAGGTTTTATATTTTCAATGTGTTTGATAAATTATTTTCAAAATTTATTTAATTGAAGATTTTCAATGCAAAAGTGTTGAAAATGCTAAGTAGCTTTTAATTATTTAGTGCATGAAGTTAATTTTATTTAAAGAAAAGAATGCTAGTTAAGTTCATTAATTTCACAATTTTTTCTTTTAACAATTTATTCTTTTCTTTGTAATTTTTCCCAATTACAAATAATTATAAAATTATATGTCATTTTTAATAAAGATCAATAAAAATTTTATTCAAAATTTAATTTTCAATAACATACCAAACAATTTTTATATTATAAATTCAATAGTTAAATTTTTCCAAACCAAAATTTTAATACTTAATTTCAATATTGAATTTATTCAATTTACCACAGCATAATCAATCATGTTACCCACAATTATAATCCGTTTTATCCCCTTGAATATAACAATGCGCATGGAACTTTTCAAGTGATTTGTAGTTCACTTGAGGATAATAAAGTAATTATGCAACCAAACCCTAATAAAACCTTCTTATTCGTCTCATCCACCGCTTCCCTAACGACTCTTCTTCTTCGTTAGAGGCAAGATTTTAGTAGAGTTTTTCAGTTGAATTCTTCAGTGTTAGAGGTAAGCTTTGAACATGTCTGAGTTTAGTACTCCATATTATCATCTGAGATTAGTAGTTCATGTCCTTTTTAAGGATTGAGATTAGCCGTTGCTTTTAAGGATTGGGATGTTCCAATTTTTTGATGCTATAGTACTCTATATTATCATCTGAGATTAATAGTTTATGTCCTTTTTGCTAACATGCAATTGCTTCAAGTGTTGTTGTCTCTCTGGAAACTAATCTTATTTTAGATGAAATCAGCTATGAATTAAAGTTGTAAATAACAAACTGCGAATCTGTTAAAGTCATTTTGTAGAGGCTATGAATTGGGTATTTACATCTTTTTGTTTTTTGGTTTTGTTGGATTTTAACAATGGGCCTGATATAAAATTTATCGGTTATTCACTCTACGGGAGTCTGAATATTATTTGAAATTTTGGATGCTTCAGGTTGATCTAAAACTTATTGTTTGATGTTCCTTTTCAGGTTTTTATGTTGAAACTTGCTTATTGTTATCATGAGTGAACTTCAATTTCAATTTTTGTTTGAAATAACTTTCACTTAATTATCGAGTATTTAATGGGTTTTGGGTATTTTTCTATCTATTACCGGAAGGGTTTGTTAGCAAAATAAAATATGACATGAAGTATTTATCAGGTTGGGGTAGGCAACCTCAAAAAAAGTAGTCAGTGCCTTACCCGCTGCCATTCCTCACTGATACTAAGAAAACGTGTGCTGACTTTTGAATAATTGGTTTTAAACAAGTCTGAGTAGAATAGATGGAGAATAACCTTACAAGAAGTACCTAATAATTGGTTTTCTTGTTTGTCAAAAGTTTTAGATAATATTTACTTTTTCCACAGCATTTGTGTACTGAAAAGTTTCAAAAATTATTGAACTAATTGCTTGTTTCTTTGTATAATGTAATAGGTTTATCCTAACAAATCTGAAAACAGCTGAGGAAAAGCAAACAAATTTTTTTATGGCGACTAAGGTTTCACTAAAGAGCAAGGGCAAAGGAGGGAAGGGATCTAAAGGCTCTGATGAGAAATCAACTGTGCAGTGCTTGAAAGAGTGGAGCACATGGGCTGTGAAGAAGGCCAAAGTGGTAACTCACTATGGCTTCATTCCTCTGGTGATCATCATCGGCATGAACTCTGATCCAAAGCCCCAACTTTATCAACTCCTAAGCCCAGTCTAATTCAGTTGCTTCTTTTGTAACAACCCAGATCTTATTTTCGCACTTTATGTAAGGGATTGGTGCCTATCTGTCGAAACTACAAGGTATCATGCTTAGAGGCATTGTGTTTTATATGATGTTCACTTTGTTTTATTTTTATAAGCGTATGGATTAATAATTATGAACGGTTCATTCGAGGAAATTTTGAATCTTATTTTTATCCCAAGGATTGAGATGGAGTTATTCAATTTGATTCCTTTAGTCATGTTCAGCTTCATGACATTATGCATGCAAATGTGCATAACTTAAATAGTTAATCAAAGCTTAAGATGAGATGGTGTCTTCTTTTTTCTTTTGGTGTTTGCAATTTTAGGGATAAGTCTTTTTTTACTTTTTTGTACTGTCATATATTAGTCAAATTGCTCTATTTGGTCCTATAATTTTTGTAAGCTGTATTTTATTAGTCTGATTTCTTATATGAAATGATATGGCATAGGCGTCCTTTTTTTTATTTTGAGAAAAAGCCACTTGAATACTACATTGATTTTCTTATCTTTTTTTAGATTATTCTCTTGAGACGCATCAACTTTTATTGTGTTTGTTTCATTTAGTTGTTTTCTTATTCTCTAAAATACAGTGTAGTTGGCATAAGATCTCTCTCTGTGTATGTGTTGTTTCATATTGTGCTTTTATCCTGGGCTTCGACTCTTGGTTCATAGATAAGGTGAGGGAAAGTAGAACTTCAACTTTAGACCGTGGCACTCCATTTCAGGGTAACGACCACTAGCCAAATTTGATTATTCTTGTTAGACGGTAAGATGTTATAAGATGCATTAATGAAATCTTTAGCAAATAAACTTTAGACTAATGTCCTTGTTTAATGTGGTCCATCTTAGATTTACCATTTAGATTCATGATCCTTGTTTTCTTCTTCTCTTCTAGGTAGATCTGAAAATTCTTATTTTCGTGTCTGTCGATTTTGTGTTTAACGCATGTAAAACATGAAAATTGTTGTCACAATTCGTGTTGATACATCAAACACAAATTACATTTTTTGTTTTTATAAACCCTTATACGAATTTTGCTAAAATTTTAAATAGTATTGATTTTTTTTTTTTCATATTGTTTTCATTTTGTATCACCATATCTAGTTTAAATTTGTCAAATCTACTTGTAGTTTTTCCTCAACTTCAGCTTCTTCCCTTGGATTATTTTCTTGTTCTTCCGGAATTGGGTTCCATTTTATTGTTTGTTACAATCTTGTTTTATTTTCATCATGAATTGTTTATAAGGTCATCTTGGAAAAGATGAAATTTTCTTTACCTTGATGGTATCGTATTGTGGATTTGTTTTAACAGATTTACAAACAGCATAAGCATTAAACAAGATGAGGATGTTCCTACGAATATCTTATTATGATGCTTGGTTATAATTGTGAAGTGAAACTGGTTTTTCTCTTTGTAAGTGTTTGATCTTAAATCATTGGGTTATAAAATCATTGCTTTGGGGATTGATTTGATTCCCAAACCAAAAGATGGAAAATTGTATCACCGTAGGAAAGTTATTTTTAATATTATTTTTTTGACTAATTTATCTTAAAAAATTAATTAGCATTATCCTAAGAAATTAGTCACTAAAAATTGTAAAAATTTGATTTTTTAATCACTTATTCTAAAATAAGTTTTATGTTATAAATTTATATTGATTTGAAAAAGATAATGAATCTATTTAATAATTTTAAAAAATTATTTTTATCAAAATTTATTAATATTTTATAAATTTTTAAAAAATAATATTTAATTATTTTATAAATTATTGATTCAATAAATATTAAATATTCTTTAAAAATATTTTGTATTATATAATTTATATTTTCATATAATACTAAAAAAGTGATTTAAAAATATTAGTGATTTATAATATTGTATCAAATATAATAATTTAATATTATTGATAATCAAATCACTTTGATTATTTGATCACTATAATAATTAAATTATCATGATACGATTTAAAAGCTCCCTTGGTGCGGCGTGATGGAGTAATCGCTTCGTAGGCATGTTTGGATAACAGAAGATAGCACCGTGTAAACATTCTGAGCATGTTGCATCTTAAGGCTTCATTTGGATATAAACACAGGCTCTGTACTGTGACATTTGGTTATTTGTTGGGCTAAATACACCACAAAAAGATGTTTGGTAAACATGCCAATTGTACGATGAACATTTTAATCGCACCATTTCCTTCTATCGACACTGGAGCATAACATATCCAGTGACTCACCGTGATGCTCATGGATAATGTTGCACTCATTGTTTACATTTTACTTCTTATTTTGCCCTTGCTTTTATTCTTACATGACTAATATTCTTATTACATCTAAAATTTACATTTCATTTTTGTTCCTTTTTTTTTTTACTTTGATTTTATATATATATATATATATAAATAATTAATAATTTCTAATTATTTATTAATTTTACAAATATTAAATATATAATATAAGTTCATTTATACACAAATATTAATTTAATATATTTAATAATCATTTTTTGTTTTTACTATGATTACCGTTATGTTTATATTAAAATATATATCTTATTATTGATTTAATTTTATTATTATAATACTCAATTTTATTATTACAGTAATTAATTTTACTATGACCGATATTTTTAATTTTATAAAAACTAATTTAACCGTTCATTTAAATAAATCTTAAGCTAAAGATTGTGCCATTATGGGTCAAGTGAAGACAATCATAGCGCATTTTCTATTATTATCTTTTTTCTATTTTTTTCAATAATTTTTTTCATTTTATTTTGTTTGTTTCTTTTTCATTTTATTTTATTTTTAAATTTTTTACTTAAAATTTTTTAAATGATTTATTTTTTAAATTAAATATTTAATTTTTATTAATAAAATTGTTACTTTTCATAGAAAATAGTTTAATAATTTCTTTAATTATTTATTAATTTTATAAATATCAAATAATTTAAATTTTTTATATATAATTTTTAATTTAATGTCTTTTATAATTATTTTTTCTTTTCACTGCAATTCATCACATCATCATTACTTTTACATTTAAACATATATTTTATCTTTGATTTAATTTTAATCTCATAGTTATAGTAAGAAATTTAATTATTATAATAATTAATTTCACATCTGTCATTAATTTTAGTCTCATCAGTGTCAATATCAACGTCTATCCAAATAGATTTTTAGACTACCAAGCTTGTTATGTTTTTTATATTATACCTTTTGTTTTTAAGAGATATGATAATTCGTGTATTTATATCGTGTAATACAAATAATTTGTGTATTTATATTATGTTTTATATGAAAATTATATGTTATAAATCATGTTCACATAGAAAATATAAAATATATTTTTTTATTTTTGTTAAATTCAAATATAATTTTTGTTGAAATTTTAAATCATATTCGTGTATTTTTTTCATATTATTTTTGTGTCATATTCTAAATTATTGGATCTAATTTTGGATAAAAGGTTTAAAAATTGATTGTTTACTCTGGTTATTTTTGTCACTCATTTATACTAATAACTAAATCCTCCATTGAGTTGGTGTCATGTCATAAGGTGATATTTTAATTTGTGGATTTTGATTTTACCATTTTAAGTTTTCAGTTTTCCAAGAGGTTTATGGACATTTAGGTGGAAAAGTGAGTAAATGGTAAAAGGAAAGGACAAAAAGTCGTTCAGCAACAATAGTAGATTTAGATTTTTTTTTTTTTTTTTGAGTTTTTCAAGTTTCTCATGAGAAAGAAGGGCTTTTTCTTTTTTTTTTCTTTTTTTTTTTTTGAAAATTTTAAACTATAGAATTGCAAGGGAGGTTGAGAAGATCAATTAGGTGCTTCTCGGATGAAATTTGACACCAGTTAGGCTCAAACGATGATGGCGGATGATTATCGATAATGATCCTAATGATTGAAAATTGGATATTTGCAACCACAAAGGAAAGGGTTAAGGGAGAAAAGATTTAAAAAAAATGATGAAAATGATGTTTTTTGTTTAAATATTAGGTAGAAACGATATTGATTTGGGAGTAAGAGAAAGAAAACTTGATTTATTATCTTTATAATTTATTTAGGATTTGATTATTTTGGAGTTAAATATTTTAATTGATTGGGAAATCGAGTTTGATTTTTATTCTTAATTGTAAATCGACATGAAAATATAAAAATAGATAATTTGTAGTAAAATAAAAAATCACAAAAATTATATTAATTAGTTATTAATAATTTATATTATAATAAGATCCTCAAATTATCAAAAAAATCTATAAATTGAACATACACAAAAAAAAAAAATTAAGAAAATTAAAGGAAAAAATCAAAAAGTAAGAAAAGTATTAATAAATAAAAAATAGATATACTAATCTATATCAATGTTAACCTTAAATTTTAAGTTATGAAAGCATAATAATTGTACCATAAAATTAAGCATATATAGGTCAATCAAATTTCATTGATTTTTTTTATGATTAGATGATCATGCCTCATTTATAAATGGCAACTATCATTTATGAATATAAAATTAATTAATTAGAGAATTATTGACATAATTAATTAGAGAATTATTTGCCTTATCCAAATTAAATAAGGATTATAATTTTTAGAATTAACTTTAAATATATACCATGTGGTTAAGACCAAAATGAAAGTATCTTCTAAGATTTAGAATGACACTTAATTACCTTATGATTTATTTTATTATTTTTTACCCAAAACTATTACTTTTTTCTTTTTTTTTTTTGTAACTTTTTTCCTTTTTCTTCATCTAAATTCATACTCTTACTCTAAAAAATCCATATTTTCTCTCAAAACTAAATCAATTATCTCTTTAAGTTCAAACCAATTCACAAATAACAATCTTCAAACTATCAAAATCTCTACACCACCACCACCATTACAAGTTCACATCACTATCAGACTTTATCCTTAACTCATTTAATGCCTTTTCAAGACTTGGCATACCTCCATTATCGCAATCACTATCAACCACAACCAATCACGATCGTCAATCATCCATCAATTCAAATGTCTACCCAAAAGTTATTTCTAGAAACGGTTTGATCTCCTCGATTTTTAGGTAAATGTGTTCTTAAATTTTTTATTATGTCTGCCTATGAAGTTGTTTGCCTAAACAAAATATGTTTTCTTTGGTTGCTAGGC